AATGGTTTTCTAAGTACGTTGTGCACTCTGATCCAAATAAGAAGTTCAGTCTACAAATCCAAAAGCTGGTTCATGAAATGCCCAAAATGAACATCAACTATCAGAAGGTAAAATAAAAGTTTGACTGAAAAGTTATTTTCTTTTATTAAAGCCCAGAGTCAGAAAGAACGTAGGAAAAGAAAATTAAAAAAATTTATTAGGAAAATAATTGTTTTTCAATCAATGTCGTCAGCAGTTTTTTGATGAAAAAAGAAGTGAAAAAATAAGATTTGAGAAGTTTTTCAACTAAAACAGAGGAACAAAAGAAGGGAGGTATTTTCTTGTTCGTCTCCTTTGACATTTGTTCTGTTCACTAATTAACATGATTCTTTACCCCGCTTCAGAATAATGGTCCACTCACCAAATCTACCATAACTTTATTTTCTTGTTCGATCCAATTCCATCCAATTCTGAAATATTTGGAAAATCAAAATGAATCCAGAATGCAATGATTAGAAAATTTCACACCCAGATTGTATTTACAATAGAACATAGAAAACACATCAAATGTGTAAACTGAGAACATTGCAATATCTGTGTGCCTTTTCTTTATTTAATTTGATGTACCAGTGGTGACAGAAGTCAGAGGGGGACATTGACAGTGTCAGAAGATCTGTCTTTGTTCTCAGCACATTATCACATATTCCCACAGAGTCAGGCACCTACTGGTTAAATATTAAAATACTGTAGATATCATCATATATGGCGCACATGAGGAAGACGTCATACAGAGTTTGAAGGGTAACTGAGAGATGTAGTCTTGACTTCATGATCTATAATAGTTGACACAGTAAGAAGGTTACTGGTTCAAATCCTTTAGGGATCTTTTTTCCCCCCTGGAGTCTCACTCCCGAGGCGTAACATCCTGACGATTTGTCACGTCCCACTGCGTTCCCGAGGAATGTCATATATTCCAGCCCTAACCTTAACCTTATCCCTAACCTTAACCAGCACTTTAATGGTGTTAAATAGTGTTTTCCAAAGTGATTTAACTCAAATGAATGAACATGTATAGATTGATTGTAAACGGTTGTCATGTTTCCTCATTTTTCCAATCTCGTCATTTAGGGATGTTGTTGGGTGCCCGGAAGCATAATATGTTCACGATTTGTCACCTAGCGTAAAATATTACATTTTGGGAGTGAGAACATGTTGGGAGTTCATATGTTCTCCTTGGACTTGCATGGGTTTCCCCCAGTCATTCCAGCTTCCTCCCACAGTCCAGAAAAAAATGATTTAATTTCAGATATTATGTGGACATGAGGCAAATGAAATCCTTGAAGAAGCCTAAAGTGCTCTATGAATGTATGATTAATGTGTGAATTCTTGTTAAAAGGACTTTGAGTGGTCATTAAGAGTAGAAACATCATACATCAATGCAAATATATTACATTTTCACCTCCAATGTAAACAAAATAATATAAAATTAAACAAACTAGACTCCATTTGTTTCCTGAAATTAAACTAACAGAGAGCTATCAGATAAAACAAGATAATTCCTGGAAAACTAGTGAGTGCTTTCCACCTAACCTCTTACAATGACATTTTTTATTTCCTTTTTCTTTATTGTTGTACAAAAACATGAGTAAATTTAGTGAAACCATGTTAAATATTACCTTTATTCTACAAAATTGTTTGTTAAAAAATAAGCCACCAGTAGGAAACCCAACACCAGTCTTCCTTCTCTTGCTCCTGCTGATCAGCTCTCCCAGGTTTTCTTTTCTTAGAGTATGTCTAAGTTTCAAAATATTTGCTGGAGCCCAGAGTTTCTTATCACTCAGTGATTTAATGTCAGTTTGGGCTGCACCCGATATAATAACAAGTACACACTGTTTGTCTTCAGAGTTTGAATTGTGAAAGTATTAACTTTAAACTTTAACTTTAAAAATGTTTAATACTCTTCAGAAAAACAAGAAGAACCAGAGGAACCAGAGAAGCCAGAGCTCAGGATTTTGCTTCTTGGAAAAACTGGAGTTGGAAATAGTGCTTCAGGAAACACCATCCTAGGAAAAGGGAATGCTTTTGAATTGATATCATTAGAGTGTCAGAAGGCAACAGGAGAGTTTGGAGGTCAAAAACTGGCTGTAGTTGATACTCCAGGTCTGTGTGACTCCAGTAAAACTGAAGAGGAGTTGACAGCAGAGATGGAGAGAGCCATCTGCTTTGCTGCTCCTGGTCCTAATGTGTTCCTGGTTGTGATTCAGGGAAACTGCTTCACAAAAGAAGATCAAGAAACAGTGAAAATGGTTCAGAAGATGTTTGGAAAAAGGTCAGCATGCTCCATGTTAGTCTTGTTCACCCATGGAGATGACTTGAAGTCAGATGGAGACACCATAGAAGAATTAATCAGTGATAATCCAGCTCTCAGTGACTTCATCAGTTGGTGTGGTGGAGGATATCATGTCTTTAACAACAGAGACAAGGATCCCTCTCAGATAAGAGAGCTGCTGGAGAAGATCAACACCATGGTTCAGAGAAATGCAGGAAGATACTACACAGTTGAAATGTTCAGAGAGGATGACCTCAGGATTGTTCTTTTTGGGAAAACTGGAGTTGGGAAGAGTGCATCAGGAAACACCATCTTAGGAGAAAAAGCTTTTAAATCCTCATCATCTTTTTCCTTTGTAACACCACAGTGTCAGAAGGAAACAGGTCTGTTTGATGGTCAAAAATTGGCTGTAATTGATACTCCAGGTTTATTTGACACCAATAAAACTGAAGAGAAGGTGAAGGAAGACATCCGTAGCTGCATCCCCCTTGCTGCTCCTGGTCCTCATGTGTTCCTGGTTGTGATTCAGGCCAACAGATTCACAGAAGAAGAACAGGAAACTGTCAACATCATTCAGAACATGTTTGGAGAACAGTCAGCATGTTACACTATGGCCTTGTTCACCTGTGGGGACAATCTTGAGGCAGACGGGGACACCATAGAAGAAATGATCAATGATAATCCTGTTATCTCTGACTTCATCAGTCAGTGCGGTGGAGGATATCATGTCTTTAAGAACAGAGACAAGGATCCCTCTCAGGTCAGAGAGCTGCTGGAGAAGATCAACACAATGATTGCGGGAAATGGAGGAG